GAAATGGGAGAAAGCTCGGGGAAAAAAAAAAAACAAAAACAACCCGCCCCAGTCTAAACCTTGGGAACTCTAACAGGGTCTGCATCTCTTTAAAAACTATACACAGACATTTCTGGTCGAAGTGAAACCATGCTTTTCACAGAGGACTGGAGACAGCAAATGAAGCCTTAGTCATACACAGTTAGTTTCAAACTTATGTTCCTGCTCACAGGGAGAAATCAATGTACAGTATATTAAAAACAATCACTGTGGCCCTTCAATGATCCAATAGTTTCGCTTTGAATGCATTCAAGCTAATGGGGGCTTTAATGGTTTCTGACAGATCATTCCATTGATCAAGAGGCATGTATGAAATACGCTGCCTACTAAACTCTGTTTTGATTTCGAGAAAAGAAAACTAAACGTCCATGGTAAACAGCGCTTGATTGTTCACATGCTCACCGAGGGGCCGCTCCGCCTGACCCTGCCCGGGAGCCGCGGAGGGAAGGACAATGGGAATCCTATATACCTGGCCTGCTTTTTCCCCGGCTCTAATCAAGGCGTAATCAACTGGAAATCTCTGTCTGAGGCGTTGGGGGGCGAGGGGCAGGAGGGTGACCAGAGGACCAGTTTTCTGTGCTGGACGAGTTATGAGGGGTAGCTTGAGCTGCTCTGAGAAACTGACTCAGCCCTTCTGGGGCGCTGGGGTTGCGAGGTTAACTGTGCGCACTCTGAAGTGAAAAACGGGATCCCCTATTGGGAAGGAGGAGCAGGGTTTTCAGCGGGGGATGACAGTTTTGAAAGAAACTAAAGAAAGCATGCTCCCTCCATCTCAGTGCCCTGGCGCTGAACATACCTATCTGCAGGTATGGGAATTTTTGCAGGGTGCATGGGATCTGAAAACAGATTTTTTTTTTTTTTAAGTACACTCCATGCTGGGTGTGGAGCCCAATGCACACACAGCTTGAACTCACAACCCTGAGATCACGACCTGAGCTTGAGGTCAAGAGTTAGCTGTTTAACCTCTTAACCGACTGAGCCACCCAGGCGCTGTGGGGTCTGAAAAAATTTCAAAAGGGGCCGTGACACTGTTCTTTGAGACTAGTGTGCAGAAGGCGTTCACACTCCCCCCATGGTCTAGCCGCCTGTGGGGGGTCTGCACTGTGAGCCAAGCACCGCTGCTGTGTTACGCTGGCCTTGCAGGAGGGAAGCTGATGAAAATGTACACCAGTCCTTCCGTTGCCCACCCAAATCCAACCGATCTCACAAAATAATCATAATCTTGCTTCCTTGCGTTTGCACGGGGCTTCAGCGTTTACAGGTCCTTCCACGGCCGTCTCCATCCGGGGTGCCCCGCGCAGTGCCCAGAAGCTTCTCCCGAGGGGTTTGATTCCGCTCGCCGACCCTCTCCTTGTTCCAGAAGCTGGGAAGGGCAAGCAGGATGCCCTTGAACACGGGCACCGCTAAAGGGCATGCTGATCCCTGGTCTTTTCTTTCATCTCTAACATTGGGCAAGGCTGCGGAGGGGCTGAGCGCGGACCGTCGCTAACTAAGCCGGTCCGAATGGCTCTGAGCGCACAGGGTCCGGGACCACCACTGGACTTCTCCTAAACTTCCCGCAGCATGGCCTTGACCTTCCGGTCCCCACAAGCTCGGCACTTCCCATGGCTCCGCAGGAAGCCACCGCACTTACCCGATTAAAAGCAACAGGAAACCCCCGGCGCTGGAAGCTGCTTCATTTGTATTGGTGCCATGTTTAGTCAGTGGCTTTTGTAAAATTGATGAATTTTGTCTAAAGGCAGGTGCAGACAGGCAAACAGATCTGTATCTGCTGTTATCCATTTAGCTTGACACACATGTGCGGAGGAACTATTTTACCTCGATTCTTTCAGGACTGATGAAAAGTAAATGCAAGCCAAGTCATGAACTGCATCATTGGAAAAGAATCACTGAGTCTAAGCCTGGGAGTTAATTAAGGCTTCCCTCCCCTTGAAATAGACTGACCCTGGTGCTCAGACATTCAGAGTCAATAAACAATTGTTGTACACAGATCATCCATTAGAAGGTGATGGCAAGAATTTTTTAAGTAAATCTCAAATTGCGGTGGGTGACCTAATCTTGCTGGAGTAGTGGCAGGACTGGAGAATCATTTTTCATTGGATCTCATTTATAAAAAGTTCCAAGCCATCCGCCTAGGAAAAAACGGAAGCTGTGAGGGGCAAATGGGAAACTACAGGCGGTCACGTGTTACTCTGGCACGACGGACGAGACACGATGTGAATCACTTAACGTGTCCGATCTTGGTGACAGCGCGACCCAGTGAGCTAGGCGTTACCATCATCCCTGTTAAATACACAAAGACTGGGGCACAGAGAGGTCAAGGGACTTGCCCAAGTCCCAAAGCTACCATGGTTATCACAGGAAACTGGGATAATAAACATTATAGCTTATGCCTCACTGAAGACCTGCTATTCCAGGCACTTTATATGCACAGTATGTTTTTTTTTTTTAAGATTTTATTTATTTGAGATAGAGACAGAGGGAGAAGCAGACTCCCCGCTCAGCAAGGAGCCCGATGCGGGGCTCAATCCCAGGACCCCAGGATCATGACCTGAGCGAAAGGCAGCTGCTTCACCGACTGAGCCCCCCAGGCGCCCCTATGCACAGTACCAAATCTACACAACGACCTCAGGTGGTAGATCCATTACTATGATCCCCACTTTGTAGACAAGAAAACACAGGTTCGAAAGGATGGTAGCCTTTGGGTCACACACAGGACCAGGATTCAAAGTGGGGAAGCCGGCAGCCAGAAGCCTCGACTGCTGCCCAGGAAGCAGAAGGAAAGCTGATCGATGCTAGCGGGATAAATCGAATGGGGGCGCAGAGGAGACGCGTTTTCGACCTGTGCGAACAGGCTGGGGGGGACGGGCTGTGGGCAGGGCTGCAGGGGAGCCAGGCTGTAGCCCGCACAGGGCGCCGGGCGCAGGCTTTCTCTTTACTAGTAGGAGTCCGGCAGAGAAGCAGACCCTGCAGACGCTTTCCTGGGGCCCCCAGCCGGCCTGGGAACGTGTGGGGGTCTCTCCGGTGAGCGTGAGAGAGGCCGGTGGTGTATCCTTTCCTGACAGCCGGGGAAGCCGGCCTCCGGGTCCCAGGAGCTGCAGGAAGTCATTACCTGCGCCTCTCCCGCCTCTCCCCTTCCCCACCCCAGCCTCTAAGGCCCGGCGGCCCTGCAGCCGCTCACGACAGCACAACTGGGCCTTTCCTCCCCCTTTATGGTTGTCAAATTGATTTCACCACCGTGGTACCTATGGCTCTCAATGAGACCTAATTAAAAATACCATTTAATCACAACGTAACAAAAGGCAAGCTGGATAAATGGCATTACCCCAGCAGCACATCCTGATCTGCTCTCTCCTCTCCTGCTCAAGCTGTTTGGAGGAGAATTGCCTTTTCCAATAAGAATCCCCCTGTCTTCCACACACTTGCCTCTGACAGATCTCCAGAATAAACAGTATTTAGCGTGGCATGGATCCAAATGCATGCAATCTGCCCAGTGGTAAAATCAGCCTTAACTAGAGCAGGGAAGGGAAAACAAAAACAAAAACAAAAACAAAAACCCGTTGCATTCGAAAATACCCTTCCCCTGAAACAGGCAAAAACCCTTCTGCTGAAGGCAGGCTGTCCATTAAATAGGGCCTGTGGGGTCTCATTTTCAGCATCCCTCGATTCAGTTGGTGATGGGATTTAGAAGCTTTTTACTAAAATTGTGTCACAAGCGATGCCATGACCCTGCTCTTTTCTGTCTAGCGAGCTCCCCTGGTGGGGAGGCTGGGGCTGCAGGAGCTGCTGGGGTGAGGCAGCAGGGCGGGGCGCCCCCTCATGCACCCAGAGGGGCCCCCAGCACAACCTCCCCATCTCAAGGTCTCGGCCAGCGTGTGGGAGTCCCAGTTAGAATGCTGTGCCTTTGGACAGATCGTCTGCTCTCTCGGAGACACCTTGGAGTCCGGGGTAGCCGGCTCCACCATCTCACGCAGAACCCGTGGGTGTTTCTCGGGTGCCTGGAGCCAGGCCCACGCACCCCCCGGGCTGCATCTCCCCGACTCCTGGTTTCCCTGCTTCGGCCACGGCGGCCCGGCCGGTTTCTTCCTCGGGCACCTGACTGCCGCGCTTTCCTGTGCACGTCCCCCGTCCCCTGCTTTCCCTGACCTCCTGATCTGAGCCACCCTTCGTCAGTCCCCAGCGACGCTGTGTCCCCCCCCTCACCCAGTGGGCTCCCTTCCAGCACTTACGAACATCTGAAACCGTCTTGCTACTGATTTGCTGGTTTACCGTCTGTCTCCCCACTATTTTGGTCACTGCGTGTCCCCAGCACTCGGTATGGGGGTTGGCACAGAGGAGCCCTTGGAAGGCAGGGACAGGTCCTTGGATGCCCAGGGTTCACCAAGCCTGCTGAGCAGTGCTAGGTGGTCAAGGAAGGTTTGTGGGAGGGCAGCAGGGAGGGGAGGTCAGGAGCATCTTAGTGCACAGGGACCTCTCCAGATAGCTGGGACCAGGGGGCGGGGAGGCCAGGCAGGAAGCAAGGGGGGGCGGCCTGCTGACTCCGGGTGGTCCGGGGGCCAGGCTGTCCACTCCCTCGACCCCACATGTGGCCCGTGTTCCCAGCAAAGTCCTCCCCTAGCTCTCAGGGGCAACAGGCCTTCCTTTGGCCTTGCAGGAACTGAGCTGACGGCCACTGCCCCCCCTGCAACCCCCTGCATATTGTCTCCCACCTGACACCTCCCTGCACAGCATACGTCATCCTCACCCACACCGAGCTCACGCTTGCTGAAAGCCATCATCTCTTCTGCGAAAACGAGATCTCACCTTTCGGATTCACTCTAGGTAGTGGTTTCTCCCACCCTGGCAGTGCATCACCTGGCCCCACCTGGAGGACTTCGAGAACCATCTCCGCCTAACCCCACCCAAGCCAAGGAAGCAGGCCCACCCACTAGCGTTGCGAGCGGAAAAGAGCAGGACCTCTCTCAGTTTCTTATCTTATCCTTTTAATATTTTTATTGTTTATGAATGTTTTATGATGTACAAGACATATTACTACAAGGAGTCCACAAATAGAGCTCAAGAGTAACACACACATTGGGGAAAGCACTAAACATGATTACCTATTTCTACCGTAGGGGTGCAAGCAAGCAGGTCTGGAGAGTGCTGACCACTAAGGGTCAGGGTGATGATGATAAATGATAATAGGGAGCACCCGGGGCCAGGGAGGGCTCACGTCCCGCCCCAGAGCGAGAAGACGCCACCTAGCTCGTTGCCACGCCAGGACGGAGGCCGAGCGCTGCCAGATGTTCTGAATTCTAGGGAGAATGCACACGTTTGTACTTTGTAGGGAATCTCCCAATTCTCAAATATGGGCACCTCATGAAACGTAACACAGAACAAGCACGGGCGCTAAATATAGCAGCAGAGGCTACGCGGCCTGGGTGCCGGGGCTGTGGTTTCTCGGTGTCACACGCTCCGTACCTCACCGGAGAGCTTGTCATCTCCACGACAGCCCGGTGAGGCCGCACTCCCTCTCTCCTTCGCCGACGGGGCTCAGGACGTCAGGGAATTCATGCGTGGTCCAAGAGAACCGAGGCTCCAGACCACGAAGCCCTGGCCGCTCTGTGTCAGGCGGCCCTTCGGCGGTTAGCCAGCTCCGTGGACGTGAACGCCGCCTTGAACCCGGGGGATTCTGATGGCCGGAGAGAGTCTGCCTCTCCGTGCACCCCCCTCAGCGGGCAGAAGAGCCTTTCAGCTTCCAAACGACGATAAACCACTACCAGAGAAGGCCCCGGGCTGGGGCGAGGGGCTAACTATTCTCGCGATTTCTGGGGTCACCACGGGGCAGGAGCCAAGCCAGAAAGGGAGAAACGTGATAATAGCGTCACGAGACAAAATCAGCATGAGGGCAGAGGAAGGAGGGGGCGACGCCTACCTCGGTCAGCTCACAGATACAGAAGAACACTCATCTATCGGGTAGCTAACCACCTGTCAGAAGTCGTTCTACACCTGTAGCTAGGTTATTCCGTTTACTCTTCCCCTTGTGAGCTGGTGCCTTTAGGATCCCCGTCATATGGGTAAGGGAACTGAGGCACAGTGACATGCCAAAAGTCACGGAGCCAGTGCGCATTCTGATCCAGGCACTTTAAAGCCAGGGCACACACACCGCCTCTCTGATGCACGGATGTCCTCAGGACGGGGCACTGGGGCTCCTCGGGCCTCGATCCCACCTGTCATTACACATGGATGAGGGAATTCTAGAAAAATGCATGTGCGGGCTAAATCCGTGAAGCAATGCAAACAGGGCCGCATCTCCTTTGTTAGCTCAGGGAAACTTCCCAGTGACAGATGTCAGGTGTATTTTAATTTCCACCACCTCCTCATTCCCGGGGGCAGAGTGCAGAACTCATAACTCGGGCTCTTACGTAGGTCTGGCTCACAGAAGGGACAGTGGCCACTCTCCAGTGACGCATTTCTCTTTTCATTCCTCCCGCCATGGGGATGGTGGCTACAGACAAGTGGAGAAGAGAATTTCCTGCTCTCAAACTTTTTAGAGAAGCATTATCCAACAGGCCTTTCCACGATGATGAAAATGTTCTGGCTCTGTGTTGCCTAATACACGAGTCACCAGACACGTGTGGCTTTTATTAAGCAGCTGAGGAACGGAATTTTTAATTACAATGGAAACTGGATTTAAGAAGCCACACCCAGCTAAGGGCTACCATATTGGACAGCACAGCCTCTAGAGGGCGTGGTGAGAAATTGGGGGGGAATGGCATCTAGGTTCTGTCTTCCCCCTCAGATGACTTTAGAGTCTTCTACTCTAGAGTTTCTGAAAAGACTGGGGAAGGTGGAAAGTAGGCTGGGATCTGCCAGAGATGGCCCACCCCTGCCACCTTGGCCTTTGGGAGCTGAATGGCTCCCATGAAAAATCCAAGTGGGGAATAGTATTTTGGGGGCAGGTTCTTGTTTCGTACCAAGTCAGATTATAACACTGTGCCATTTTTAAACATTTTAACATTCATGGGCTCCATTGCCTACTCCTTCTAAGGGGACCCAGGTTCTATGATCTAAAGGTCAAGGTCTACCCATACTGCCCTTGCCCAAGCCCACGGCAAGGTTGGAGGAAGAAAGCCAAAAATCTCTTTTCCTCCTCCACCTAAGACTTGTGCTCCTTCTAGGGTTTTCCTTCCAGAAGCAGACTTCTGAGTTCTGAAACGATGTCTGTGAGATCGAATGGCAGAGGCATCGAAGGATCATCCTTTTCCCAATATGGTCGACATTCTGGCTTCTGATCCACAGGTAAGGTTCGGGCAATTCGGGACTGGCACCTGGAAGAGTAGGAAGAGGCAATTAATCCATGGGAAGAAATTCCTGGAAGACCCAAATTCATGGGCAGTTTGGAACGACACTGCCATGCACTCCAAAGACAGTGCTTCGCGATGGTGGTGATGATATGAAAGAAGGAGCTCACCAGGCACAATGCAGGTGTTTAGAAGACAGAAGGGCTCTTCTTCGTGGTGCTGGAACTTCTTTTTCTTTTTTCAATTCCCAGCTTTGTATTATCTCTAGTGGCTCCACAGAAGCCAATCACCAGGGAAATTCAGTTACTCTGGCTTTAAAATGGTGAATTATTTTTTCATTATCTCAACTGTTATTTAAAGTGTGTGATTAAGCCATTATCAGATTTAAATGTTTGTGGGATTTCGATGTATTACTAGATTACTGGGAAAGATTAAATTGAATTTACTGCATTAAAACGTCCAAGAATAGATTAAACAATATTACGGGCCGGGATTGACTTTGGAGATTCTAGAGATTTACAAGTGTCCCAGCTTGCTGTGCTCAGAAAAAGGCACTCCAAGGAGAGACGGATTTATAAGGATATATGCAAATAGAGGTTAATAATCATTTCCACTGATGAATAGGTGGGGAAAACTTCCACAAAATTAAATTAAAAGGCTAGCAAGAGTTACTCCCTAAGGAAAACACTTAAATCACAGCTTTTATTAAATGGATTATTCATCAATAGTAGAGAAATTAATTATCATATGCAACTAAATTATAGCCTTGTAGGAAAAAAGTTGGGGCGGCATCATCCCCACCCTGGCAGGCATCTACCTCTCAGAGAGACCAGCTTATTTAAAATTGGTCTGGGAAAGCTCAGTGGCTTTAGCTTTATTCGTCAGAAAAATGAGGATCAGAGAGAATGAAACACAAACTGCAATAAGAAATGAACAATTTCCCTACTCCCTTGGAGCGCACGGCAGTGGAAGCATGTGTACCCAAAAGAAATACTAGGAGTACACTCGAGAAGGAGCTGCATGGGTCCTTCCCCACTCCCACCTTCTCCGCATTGTTCTCAAAATCCATTAAAAAGTGGCCATCCCCACGATCTGTCTTCTGTGGAGGACGAACTACGAAGACATCAAAGGAGGGAAGAGCCCGGCCCTATTTCCGAGCCTGATGGCAGAGTAGGTTTCTATAGCTAAAAGACATCTTCTTCTCTGGGGAATTATTGATGGTAAGGGGATCCCCACGGGAAAACATACTTCAACTTTATACCTATTTTCTCGTGTGGTTAATTGCTCTGCCGGCATCCTATGCACTCAATCCGTCGTACATTACACATAACATTCCAATATATCTTCGGCTCTCTGCATCAGACCCTGATAATAGCGTCTGTTAACATGCACTAAGTACTATTATGTAGCACATCACTTCATAAATAATAAGATTAGCTGACCTCAGGGCCCCAAGAAGAGTAATGTGTTTAAATGTTCTCATTATTTATTTAAAACAAGAATTAAAGCAACAGAAGCTGCTTTTGACAATCCTCTTAGCATAAATATTAAACTGTTTGCACTGATAAGCCCCACACAGCGCCGAAGAACAGAGGGTGCGTTCTTAGTGATAGGTGTTTGAGACGGTGCCTCTTGCGGTCGTGGTTCCGAGGGTGCGTCTCTGTAGTTCTAGACACAGTCTCTAAATCACATGAAGGGGATGGAGGCAAATTAATATTCAGGGGGAGCTGCGAATAATTACAAAGGAACTCGACAAGGCTTTTCAAATTGTGCTCTCTCTCTGCTTCAGGATCACAGAGTGATGCTCAATTTACTAGGTAGGGAAAGTTTATTCCAAATTGAGCATCTCAACCTCTCAGCGGATAAATTATCTGCGCACACATTATCCCGGCTGGCAGATTAAAGGCCTATGATAAGTGTCGATCCACCTAGAATATCATAAGGTTTGTAAAAAGTCAATAGAGATGCTTTTTCACCTGTCAAATGGGTTTGCCCCTTCGCTTTGAGAAAGTATTAAAAATATTAAAGCCTGCTGCAGAGGTTTGCTTATGCCATGATGTATACACTTCCTCCCCGAGCTTTTCCTTTGGGTGAAGCTGCTCTGTGATTTCCTGCCCCAAACAAGGGCCTGGCTGGTGTGAGAACAACTTCCTTCCCAGGCAGGTGCTGAGAGGCATATCCTTACAATGAAAAATGCTGTAGTCCTTAAGAAAGAATAAAGCAAATTTGGATATACAAATATGAGATGAGAGATACCCAAACAGAGGGAACAGTGTGTGCAAAGGCTCTGGGGTAGGAATGTGTCTGGCATGAGGGAGGCACATGACGGTGGCCAGCACGACTGAAAGGAGCAAAGGATGGATCGGCTACACTCCTCCCTGGCTCCCCCTGGGCTGGAGGTAGAGCCCTTTGTGGGGTCTCTTCACACTCTTAATTCACAGCTTTCAAGGTCGCTTTCCAACTTCTTTTAATGCCCGTGCTCCTTGCTGATTTCTAAAAGGTAGTGACAGGGCCCCTGCAGAGGACTCGTTGTTTGAGGTGATGCTTTACCTACGGGTGAGGATGGGCTACCCCCCATCTCAAATCCTAGTGTTTGGTTCCACATCATGCCAGACTGCGGGACTGAAAGAGAAAGGGATCGAGAATGGCTTGAAGGCGTAGCCCCTTTTCAGTTTCTTTCTTTTCTTTTCTTTTTTTAAGACTATTTATTTATTTGAGAGAAACAGCCAGAGAGAGCATGAGCGTGGGAGGGGCAGAGGAAGAAGGAGAAGCAGGCTTCCCGCTGAGCAGGGAGCCCGATGTCTAGCTCGATCCCGGCACCCCGGGATCATGACTTGAGCCGAAGGCAGATGCTTAACCAACTGAGCCACCCAGGCGCCCCGCCCCTTTTCAGTTTTAATTCCTCCTGCTCAGATCACTCGTTCTGCCTCCTGGCTCATCTCCTATGATGGGGCAGGAGGGAGCTCGAAGCGTCCTGGCGAACGGGGTGCTCTTTGCACACTTGGCACCTGCTGCTGTCTGGGGGCAGGACATCCCAAGCGGGTTTCTCACCCTTGCAGGCTGAGCCTCAACTTCCTGTCCAGTGGGAGTGAGGCTGATGAGGAGGAGAAGGGTGGTAATAACAGTACTTATTTATGGGGTTGTTGTGAAGGGTAAATGAATTAATACATGCAGGGTGTTCTGAACAGCGCCTGAACATCGTAAGCACTCAACAGATATTAAATATTATTATCGCCACCGTTACTTCTACCACGAGGACTAGTGACGGACAGATGATAATGCCAAGGATAGAGCTGTGTCGTCCCTGTGGCAATGCCCCCCTACCCACTAACTGAGTGGGCGGCCCCTGGACCAGCTCTTTTCTAGGAGAAGCTCTGGAGATACGGGAGCAGCTCTTTCTGACTTGAATCACATTGAGTGTGCAGCTGAATCCTATCACCATGTGATATGCCTGTACGCTGAGGCTTATGTATTCAAGCTGCTACAACCTCCCAGTGACAGGCTCAAATGCTCCGATTCAGAAAGACTCAACCGTTGTATCCGAAGACCTAGAATTAATAAAAGGCGCTGTCATCGGACTTTCTAAGTGGTGACTCTTCCAGATTGATTTGGCATTTATAGGGAAGAAAGTCGGATTGTTTCTTAGCACGCATACTCTAGAGTTCCTTGCAAAATAAAGGGGCCCTAAGTTCTCTTAGGAAATGTGTTAGGCATGCTGACTGCGGCAAACATTTGCAGCCTGTATCCATCCCTACCTTCTCCACCAAGAGGACTGAAATTTTCCCGTAGGGAAATCCATCCCCTCCCCATGCCTGGCCAAGTGCTTTGGATGGGATTGGCTCCCCCGCTACAGCCCGAGGAGAGCCTTGATCTTGATCCTAATGAGCACATCCCACTCTCCCAGCCACAGGAAGAGGTTTAGGGGGCGGCATATGACCCAATCTAGGGCAAGAGGGAGAGCAAAACCAGAGGACTGGTATGGGAGCTGCAGGAAAAGCCTTTCTTATCTCCTGTGAGCTATCAGGATGCACCATCTGGGACAGCCACAGTCATCTGGCTAGGTGCAGCAAGGGGCTGGGTCCTGGGCGATATCGTTTGTAGCTGGATCAAGCCACACCTGAAGCTAGGCATGCTTAGACTTTTTTAGTTTCACAAGCCATGACTGAATTAGGTTTTCCTGTCACTTGCAACCAAAGAGTCCTGGATGACATGTTCCCCACCTGTCAGTTATTTCCCCCCTTTTTGCTACAATATCCATTGCCACGGGCCTGCCTGCCAAGGGGATATGGACAGTCCTGTCTCTAAATTGAGATGCCGCTGCTGACACAGCATAGTGTATGCAGGGATCATCCAGGTGTGAAAGCAGGAAAACACTGGCTTTTGGTTTTGGTTCCAACGGTATTTCTATTTGGGACAAATTCCTATCCAGAAAACAAGGGTGTGCTGGTATCATCCAAATAGGTCTCTGCATGCAAATAAGCTAGTTTCAGTGACCACAGCTGGATGACGTTTCTCAAGAAAGTTAAAAAAAAAAAAATTCCCCAAAACTCAGTGTTCCCAAGGAGAGGAGATCATTCTGGACCCACCTAAACAGTAAGAAAGTTTTTTCCCTTTTCGACTTTGTCCTCTCTATTCCCATCCTAAAGCAAATCCTATTTTTCATGCTTCTTTGGCTAGCAAATAAACTTGGATCTACCCAGAAACCCCGACCCCTTTCATGAAGCATTATAAAGGGAGCAAAGGAAAATAATAAACACGTCACGTCTCTCCCTCCCAAATTCACATTATTTCGAGATTCCAAGGACTCTGTGAGCCAACCCCCAAACTCTCGCTATGTAGGAATGGTTCTCCCTGAACAACCTGGTGTCCTAACAGGAAGCAACTGAGAGATGTCCCATTGGCTGGCCCGGTAGCAGGCTGCCCAGAGGTCCCCCTTCTCTGCCCACAGGTGTCACTCATATGGAGCCTCCGGACCCCTGATTTCCCCCAGGGCCACACTTGCATCTGGGTGATCGGGATGGCGGCTA